AATGTTGTATTTCTAATTATGTGGTCTATTTTAGAGGAATGTATATTCTGTTGTCTTGGGGTGGAGAGTTCTGTAGATATCCATCAGGTCCACTTGATCCAGAGCTGAGTTCAAGTCTTGAATATCCTTGTTCATTTTCTGTCTTGTTGATCTGTCCAGTATTGACACTGGGGTGTTAAAACTGCCACCACTATCGTGTGGCAGTTTAAGTCTCCTTGTAGGTCTCTAAGAACTTGTTTTATGAATCTGGGTCCTCCCATATTGGGTTTATATAAATATATATATATATATATATATTTTTTTTTTTTTTTTGAGATGGAGTCTCACTCTGTCACCCAGGCTGGAGTGCAGTGGCGCAATCTCGGCTCACTGCAAGCTCTGCCTTCCGGGTTCACGCCATTCTCCTGCCTCAGCCTCCCGAGTAGCTGGGATTACAGGCATGTGCCCCCATGCCCAGCTAATTTTTTGTATTTTTAGTAGAGATGGGGTTTCACCATGTTAGCCAGGATGGTCTCGATCTCCTGACCTTGTGATCTGCCTGCCTCGGCCTATAATTCCAGCTACATAGGAGGCTGAGGTAGGAGAATCACTCAAAATTTTGAGTTCTACCAAATCTTCTCATCTTTGTGTCCCCAGTTCACAGGCCCAGTGCCTGATAGATATAGGTTCCCACTGAATACTTAATGAGGGAGGTGGGTATTGGTTTCTTCAGCAGCTGTGACCTCCATCCCATTGTGTGCAAAGTAGGAAGGCATTGGCTCTGTTTGTGTTTTTTGTTAGTCACACAATTAAGGAACTCAGGCAGGTGTGGTGGCTCACTCATGCCTGTAATCCCAGCAGTATGGGAGACCAAGGCAGGAGGATCGCTTGATGAGGGAGTTGGAGACCAGCCTGGGCAACAAAGCAAGACCCGTCTCAGGCATGAAGCCAACTTGATTGGTGGATAAGCTTTTTGATGTGCTGCTGGATTCAGTTTGCTGGTATTTTATTGAGGATTTTTACATCGATGTTCATCAGGGATATTGGCCTGAAGTTTTCTTTTTTTTGTTGTGTTTCTGCCAAGTTTTGGTATCAGGATGATGCTGGCCTCATAAAA